GATTCGGTTATTTTGGTTGTGGATAAGATCAAATCATCGGTGAAACGCGTCACTCACATCTGTTATACTAAGTTTGTGGACACTGCCACATTACTCCATATGGTAAAAGTGTTTTCTGTGATTTTACTCATCTCCATTGGTGTACTTTGGATGTTTTGTTTCTTTATGGGATTATCCATAAGAAAAAAAAAACACTTGAAATTTAAGTTGCAACTCCATAGATTTGACATTGAGTATTTACTGCATGCCCAAAATTCTATTCTTGCACTTGAATGAATGACACAAACATTTCAGGGTGGACGCGTGTAAGCCGAAAGCTGAACCCCGAAAACCGAACAGTCATTTTTTCGGATGTTCGGTTCAACTTCGGGGTTTTAATCTAGAAAGTTCGGTTGTCGGCTCCATTCTTGTTTTTTTTTACTAAAACTCAAACCGATAAACCGTTTGAACTGAAGAAGCCCGCCTCCTACGCAGATCACTGCTTCTCCCCACAGAAGCCCCCCACGGTGGCCCAAGTGCTCCCAATTGGACCACCCTAAAATCCTAAACCCTCGACCCACCTCCCTCAGCCACTCTCCTACCACTCTTGGGCCCACTCGCATGCCACACCCTAACCCTAGCCTGCGCGGATTGGGCAGCGGCGGCGCTTGCAGCAGCCACACGGAAACGGCAGGACCGCTCGTCGAGCAGGGAGTAAGGTGGTCGAGGTGACGTGATCGCTTCGAGCAGGAGTGAGCGAACAGCATAGGCGCGAGAAGGTGCTAGGAGCGACATGCCTGCCTCAGTATCACTGTGGCTGCCAGTGCCTAGCCACCGAGGCTGAGACGCGCAGGCGCACCTACGGCCCTACGCCACCATCTCATCGCACTCACAGGTCGCCGGCCCTATGCGAGAAGCTTGATTTGGGATCTTAGGGACTGGATTGCAGTTTGATTTAGGGTATTGGGAAATGGATTGGAGTTGGAGATGGAGATGGGGATGGAGATTTTTCTAGTTTTTTTCCTGCTGCAGACCTTGACAGTTCAGTTGTTTCAGTTTTAATCGAGAAACCGAAATAGAAAATCGAGACCGCAATTGATGTTTTCTATTATGTAATTAACCGGTCTTTTGCCTAGTCTTTCTACTCCCCCGTCCTAAAATACAATGGTTCAAGTTTATCCTAAGTTAAACTATGTTAAATTTAATTAAGCTTATAGAGAAAAGTATTAACACCTATTAAATTTAAGATATAAATTACAAGAATATATTTCATAATGTATCAATGATACTAATTTGATGTAAATGGTATCATTTTTTTTATACATTTGGTCAAGCTTAGAACAGTTTAACTTCTGATAAATTTGGGTTCATTATCTTCCAATACTTAAGAAGAAAGAATACCCGACATACGACCCACTTTATTGTTTGCCTTTTCCCTTTAGTGAAAGCTGCTATTGCCTGGGTTCTCTTGCAGGGCTGAAGAGAAATGGCTGGACAATGTGGCTCCAGGAGAGATGATATCAAGATGCCTTTTGCTTTCAGTACCCGGCCACCTCTGTGACCACTTCAGCACTCCTGCGGTCCTGCCACTTTCTGAATCCTAGATTAGATAGTACTGTATTCGTTTCGAGTGTAAAAATTCTAGTGCGTTATTTTGGAGTTGTGACTGTGCAGACCAAGTCTGTGATCTGATCGACGATCATGCCGTGGTCTGGCTATGTTTGGAACTGGAAGATGGTATATTTCACACCTCGAGTTGTTGTGCTCGTTTCTGTTTCGACACGCATGGCTTGTATCTTTTGTGCTAGATATATAGCTTTGGGGTTCAGAGAAGTTGGTAGAGCAAAGATAAAGTTGCAGATATGATGTTGGGATTTGGTCACCAGTGAATCCATGAAAGTGATTACATCACTTCTTTTTAATCAAATACAAGGCAAACATTCACATGAATACACGTACCCTCGTTTCTATAAATGCGGCCGTGTATACTCTACTGTATAAACATCATCAAAAGACTAAACCGATAGATTTCGAGATGAAATCACTATATTAGAAAACGTATTTATGAATAAGGTGACTTCTGGTTTTCATTATTAGACCTGTTTTGAGCATTGTGCAAGTTTGCATAAGAGTCTCTGCAGACAATCAAATATGGACAAACTGCATTGCATAAGTCTTGATACGTACTAATTCAGACAACCAAATACGTCCTAGGCAAATAGAATCCTTCCTTACCCCTATGATTGAAGAACAACTTAACTAGATATTCATGCATGTGGAAAAGCATAAACTTCACCGATCCAGAGATCACACAAAGTATAGAGACAAGCCGACAGCACTACCGAAAAATGAACGGCTGCACGAGCAGGCCACCACCATCTCCCCTAACGGCATGTAACTCCTTCACAAACTGCGAAGAGGGTTTCATTTTTTTGACAGGACTCCAAAGCGTATTTTAGCTAGGAAAGCCACCTTTTGTCTACCTTTTGTCTCCCCAAAACAAAGTGAAACCTAGGCAGCAGGCATCCTCTACCCCCTTGAACAAACTGCAAGTGTAGTCCCCACAAAAAAATGATAAAAGAGACTAACAATAGCTGACAAGTGGCCCCACGTACCGCGTGTCATCCTTATGGACCCACATGTCAGTGACTTTTGGAAGGGCAACACTATCATATTTAGCCTCTCTTTTTTTTAAGAGTAGCCTCCTATTTAAGATGTTCTACTTTAACACTCCTACGCGTGAATGATGTCAACCTAATCACTTTTAACTTTTGTGTGCGAGGACTAATCAGTTGTCACTCAAGGATCGGCAAAAAAGAAACAATGGCCCTAACCTTTCGCGCCTGTACTACTCATGTGTCCGACGAGCTTTGAGCCGAATCCAGCACCACAAAGGCAAGGATCGGACGGCGCACTTACAGCTGCTCGTCAGCTCATGGTTTGTACACTAAAAAATTGGAAAAAGTTTATGCTCTGCTGATGCGAAGGCATGCAGTGCAGGCAAAATGGACCCGGAGACAAACTTTTGCAACATATCAGTAAACAAGGACAGACAGCAGAATAGATGTAGGCAACTAGGCACCCACTAGGTACTAGTTTTAGTACCCTTGATGACAAATCAAATGCTTGTTAATGAAATCGTGCTAGAAAATAAATAAATCTTTGTTCACCGCCGGTAAATTGCTAACTGGAATGCGTGTATGAATTGAACTTTAGGAAAGCCGTTTTCCAATCCTAGATAGGGGAATAAGTTCGGTCTGGCATATGTTTCCCTAGGTTCATTGGGAAATTTTTTTATATGACACAGGATGAAGAAGCCCCAGATCCTTGCCAAACCTGTTTACCTGTATTGTGCGAGTGCGGCCCACTGATTTTGGTGGCACCAGATGTTCTGTGACTTGTTTTAATTACATATATTTTACTTTCTTTATTTTCTTTGTTGTTTCCTTTTGCATAATGCGTTTCTTGGCTTGTTTTAAAGATCGGAACTTTATTAATAAAGCCTTTTCTGTTAAAAAAATCAATATACTTTTCTCAATAGACAAGTCTCAGATCCCAAAATGTCACTGCAAAACAGATGTCCTCACAGCTTGTGCAAATGGTCCTATTCTTTTATTTATTGATGATCCACCATATTTTAGAAGAAAGACAGCATTGGCGAATATGCAGACATCAATTTTGCTGTGTGATTTCTTAGATCAGGGAATTTTTCCAGTGGCGCATAGAACAAAAATCAAGTCCATCCACCACCATACTTACTGGTCTAGTTTCTGTACCTTGAAAAATCAACTGCTTGTTAATTAGGTGATACCGTGATAGAAATTCCTAGATAAAGCTTAGTATAATTCTCATATATAAAGTTCATCCATGTCCACCATCCTTGCGATGGACTCGTGCTAAACAAGGAGCAGTGGAAGGAAGACAAACACAAACTGACCACCCAAAATCACTCTCTTACTTCAATCAGGCCTCCAATGGGAGAAGTTTACGAGAATTTGTGTGGATTTGACTTCGCTACTAGAGTTCGCCGGAAGGTTTTTAATATACTGTGTTATGTCTTTAGCTCCTAGCTATTTGGTGACGTCCGATATTGCTTTCATTAAAAGTAGAATGATTCTTTACTTAAAAAAGATTCCAATCCAGAAATGCCACTGCAAAATCAAAGTCCTTTCATGCGCCATTGCTTTTGCGAATGGTTGTGTTCATTATTTTATTCGGTCGTGTATTTCAAAAGCAGTGGCATTATACATGAGCATCAATTTTATAGTGTCATTTGAAGGACCAAGAAAATTTTTCAACAGAACATGGCGCAAATTTCAATGATCCGTCCGTCACCATGGTACAAGATTAAATTGGTACCTCGAAAATCAACTCCTTGTTAATTACATTGTGCTAGAGAATAAGTTCATTTCTCATCCACCATACAATTTCCAGGGTATCTATCTGAACATGCATGGACCTGAGACATTGTAGTGAAAGGAAGAATAAAACATAGCGTCAAAAGCCACTGCACTATTGTAATAAGGCCTCCAATGGGAGGAGAGTTGTGCGACAATTTGCATGGATTTGACTATGCTACCTACATGTACTCTGCAGCAACGCACTAACAGAAAGGCCAAGGATTAGTTCACTTCACCACGCACCTAGTCAAATTCTTGCAAAACTCTCCTCTCATTGGAGACCTTGGTGTGTGTAGTGTGTACCGAGCAGCAGCGGACCAGCACTCAATAGAGCCCGGGCGAAGCTCAAAACTTCGTGTATAGCTAGCAATTGCCAGGATTATCAAAAAGGTTTTTAAAACATCCTTCTCAATTCTCAGGGCGAGCAATTATCATGCGAGTATGTGACAGTTGATACCCAGTTTATCACTTGTTCTGAATTTACAACGCACATTACACTTACAGACTATCATATACAGCAAAGGCACTACGTCTACATCACAACGCAGTATAAACCAACAAAAAATGATTAGTATATCCATCCAAAGAATTAATTGCAAATAAACAAGGTGTAACGAGAGCTCACGATCCATGAAGATTTTGGATTTCAACTTTCAAAGTTTGGAGCTTACGCTCGACAGCCGATAGCTCACCCTGAACCCCCTGTAACCAATCTATTTTTCGCTGACATGCTTCCTGGTAAGGTTTGCTGATAACCTCAACAAAGCGGATTAGGTTAGTAGCACTCTGTGAGATATCCTTTTGGATAGCTTCATCAACTTTTCGAGAGAGTTCATCAGCAGCCTTGTTAACCTTCTCTATTGCAAGCTTCCGTCGACCAGGGAAACTTGATAAAACAAAAAACCTGAAGAAGGACAAATCAAAATGGTTACACATCAACTGTCCCATTTCATTGTTAAAAGATTTGCTAAAGAATGATGCACAGTTATCAATTACTGAATTACCCGCCAGCTGAGCAAAGAGCAAGAGCAAGAAGATCTTCAAGAGTAGTTGACAAAACAGATGTCAAAAGAGAAGCTGACAGTCCGGCAATACCTAGCCCTCCAAATGTTCCAAAAGCCTTCGCATGCAACAACTAAGCTTAGAAATAAATAACAAAACGCGAAAACAAGGACAAACAAAGCAGCCGTGGTTACAAGTCTAGGCATGCACTCTGCACTCAGATATAGTACAAAACTTAAAATATTGTATTCTGTTAAACCTAAAATATTGTGGAGCCCTGAATGCTTTGGCTATTCTTACATTCCAATTCCCAGCACATGTATATTCTTTGCAGATTGAAGAGAGAAATGGACTAATTTCCCCCTCAATCCCTCCAGATCCACTTCAATCCACAGGGAATGCATTTGTAAGGTGTGTATTCAAATGTTCCACATGACCACATACGATCAAATGCACTGGATTCTACTAAGCTCATTCCTTCAGGGCTCAATTAGTTCATCATCTAGAAAGGTATCAGCAGGAAGCTGACCACTTAAATATTTATGTAACAGACTGACAAGGGCAACGGAAAACTACAGATTTCACAAGGGCTTTTCTTGGCCTATTATCAAGGCAAAGGCATTTACCATTTAGTACCTATAATGAAATTTCCACATTTTCCCTAAATGCTAAGAGGTGTGTTGTACTACTTGTAATTAGAGCCTCAATACTTTTTAGGGGTGCCAAAGCATAGATTTGAAACATATCAATTGACATAAGGAAATCAAGGCCATTAATAGGCATACCACTTCTCGGATTTCCTCTTCAAAAACCTTGGCAGCAGCACTGGCATTGAAGCCATCCAGTGCCTTTGCGGTGAGTTTCTTACTTTCATTAACAAGCCCATTTGGATCTAACAGAACCCTTTCTTCCGGAGCAACCAGTGCATCCCATCTTTCACAGAAACACTCCAAATAAACTTTTGCTTCACGGGCATTGCTAGAACTCAACCATGTCGAGTAGTCACCTAGTAAATTCTAACAAAAGAAAGGACTTTTGCTGATAAAATGGATAGATAAGCATGGTAAAGCAAATAGCTAGAATATCGAGCAAATTTCAGATAACTATATTATGCGGTCTCTACTATCACAATCACAAAATTACTCATACTTTAGTCAACTGCAAAGAACTGCTTTTGCACTTATTATCACAAAACTAAACCTTTTCGCTAATTCCGTTAGTTTGGACATCAATTGACATCTCAGTCCCATATGTAAGACAGCATCTGCTTGGATGATTAATGAGCTCCACCTGTGTATGTCTCATGTGTGTGGTTCCAGGATGCCAGTTGATACCCAACTATTTTACAAAAAAGTGCAGTTTTGTGATATATAAGCAAAGTTTTGCGAAATGAGTTCAGAAAAGTATAGTTTTTCTGATGATATAAACCATGTAATAGTTCCATGAAATTTACTTTAGAACAGAACGTGCAAAAAAAAAAAAAGAATAACATAACAATGTATCAAAAAAGAGAAGTACTCATGAGAGCTATAAAAAATATTAACCATGCTGCAAAATGGGTAAACTGAATTAAATGAATTGCTTAAACAGTTTAGATCTGTTATGAGGTGGCCATGTGGTTGCTTACTACGTACCATGTTCGAGATTGCTTACTACATACACCTGAAAATCCCAGTTTTATTAAAGGAATATCTAAAAGACGAAGGTGGGTGCACAGACTGCCCGGATGATGATCCTTGTAAAGTATATGATATTTTTTTGAACTTTCAATACAGCAGGGGAGACCCCCACTGTAAGGATCTTATTATATTAAAAAAACAACAAAAAGAACATGGTAATTTAGTATATGATATTGCGGGAGGTAACAGCGAATTGCTGAATTAATCAATCAAGTCAGCACTAAAAGTTTTGATATAGGAAGATTTGTTGAAATCAAGGCGATTACGAGTTGATACAATTAACTTGGGATCACTTCCGAGAATCGTTTGTCCAAATAGAGCATATATGGATCATAATATGATAAAACTAAGAAAGTTCAGTGGCAAACATACCACAGCATCATCAAGGGTTGGACTCAGAATATCATCCTGAACAAATGATGTGGCTCTCGTGGAACTGCCTGTTTTTCCTTTGACCGTGTATGTAAAAATAAGGTCAATATTTGACAGCTGAAGTGTAGATTCCATGAGTTTAACTGCTCGACCTTTTGCTCTCTCAATCTGCAAGAAGATGTAAGTATGTTACCAGTCTCAATCTGGGAGTATTAAGCATATTGCACTCAAAAGGACTTTCACCAAATACCAATGCTAGGTCGGCAATAGATGTATTTATGAGAAGTTGAAGAGTGTGTATGTGTATCTAACAATATGCACACTTAAAAGGTCAAAAGTTAATGGGAAAGGCATGTCGAAAATGACAAAAAATATCCTCATAATTGCCCTTGGAAAGTCTAGTGCAGGCACTAACTGTTTATTATACATGTCTTTTTGGAGGAAACAGGAGGGGTAGCCCCCTACTGGCTAATATATATTAATAATACAATAAAAAAGAGATGTCCAAGCAACAGAAATATAAAGTACTCCCAACGATCCCAAATATAAGTCCTTCTGGACCTGGCACAAGTATTAAGGTGAGAGGGTACAATGACCATATTACTCATCAATCATTCTTGGAGTTAAGATGGGTGGCAACTGGCAAGTTTACTTCATTGATTAGTGTGCATCTAAGTAAGGGTAGACAAGGAAGAATAAGACAAAAAGATGCATTAGGGTTGTTATGGACTTATTATATTTGGCGCACTGAAGCAGACTTGTATTTGGGATTAGAGGTATTACAAGCAAGAAAAATAGGCAGTATCATAAGTTGCATTTAACCACTATTTTGCATTGAAGGCAGGAGAAACACAACTTATATTTTGGTAAACGAGGGAATACATTTGTATAAACAAATAAAAAAGAGCTAGTAGTATTTGAAACACCTACAAGAGATGAAATCTGGTTCTGCCAAGAATTGCTATCGGACTCAAGTTTGATGGCATAATTGTTTGCACCATAAACAAGATCCTTGATGGATGTTAAGTCTTCAACAGCCTTTTCATATTCTAGTTTCACGAGTCTTTGACATGAAGTTAACAAACGATCTGCAATGCCTATTGGTGTTTCAAGTTTCAGCCGGACCCTCTCTTTTCCATTTTCCGTTGAACTATCTAAGAAACTCAGTAAGTAATCCTCAAGTTCACAAAATTTGCTGCTTCTCCATCTAGGATCACTAAACATAGCTTCCCTCGAATGCTTTCCGTCACTGTTTTTGGAATATGAAAGCTTGGCTTCCAGAGCAGAGCGTGAAGATACAGGAAACAGTGTTACGTCCTCTGCATTAAGCAATTTCATTGCATTTTCCTTGACAAATGCAGAAGCTTCTTCAAGCTATACACATCAGATTGAGAAGCAAAGCAATCAATTAGAAACAAGCAATTAGGAACAAAATAAATCTTGCTTTGATTTCAATGGTGCAGAAATGACGTTACAACCAAACCTCATTGCTGTTCCGATAGAGGTCCAATTTGTTCAGAACAAATACAACTTTCTTCTTCCACTGCTGGACATACTGAAGAAACCCAACCTAGAGGTTACAAGAAACCACGTTTAGCTCTATTAGAAAGAAAGAAAAAATACATTGTCCAAACATAAATTAGAACACTAGATTATAGAGACCATGAAATATGTGATTCAGAAGGAATCCATGTAAAGATACGATAAAATGCAGCCTATATGTAATATAGGCAGAAACCTAGAATAAGTCACTGAAAATTTCCATGAATTGAAATGGCTCTGCATTTGATCTGCTATAATTGTCATAGATAGCAGTTCAAATTAAAATTTGAGTTTCTAAATGGAATATAGCAATGAGAGCCCTTGATACAGTGACCCAGGTTCGGGTCCATAAGCAGTGACAATCACCCTATGAAGCCTCGCTTTCGCTACAGCTCAGGTGGGCTCATTCCATTCCCTTCACCAAACCACTGGCTATGAGTCACCAGCTCATTCTTCAACAGGATCATGGCACTTAACATAGTGACCCGCCAAAAGCAGCAAACTAGAAAGCATTTATTTCTTTCTAGATTTGGATAGAGCTGTAACAGAGTACATCTTGCTAGAACTTCTCTCCAGACTCACATCAACTGGAAGCCTGAAGTTTTGAAATGTTCAAGGGTGCCAATTGAAACTTCAATCCAACAAACTCAAGCAAGCTTGTGAATACCATTCTGGTTTGTTTGTTGAACAGGATGCACCCAAACCCTAGACAGACTATAATACCCTTAACATCACCCCCTCTGAAATGGAAGGCGTATGCAATTGCGTTGGATTTGGAAGAGTGAGAACACTAAGCACTAAACTTAGACACATTACAACACTAAGATAAATGAAACATCCAAATCCAAATCTCCAATATGTCGTTGTAGCATTTGAGTCTTAAAACCCTTGCCAAGCCAAGGAGGTGCGAAGAGAAGCACATAGGTAGAGCCATGATGATGGACATGCCTTTAGTCAAGAGTCAAGAGCACACCGAGGAGGCGACAAGGAGTAGCAACTAGCAAGGTTCAAGCGGACGAGCCATTGCCGCACAGATCCGGACGAGGTCACCACAAAGGGAGAGTTGCATCGACAACGACATAAAAATGGTTACCCAAAAACGGAACAGACAACCACAAAGGAGAATAAATATTTGGCTATTTGACAAATATTTGTGTGGAGTTGGACGGTGCAGGTGACTCTTGGAGAGCAAGTGCAGTGGACACGGATAGGCGCAGCAGCGGCATGACTCTAATGTAACACTAGCAGCCAGCAGCAACATCGCATCTTCCAAACAGCAGGCCAAATAGCAAAGATGGACTAGCAAGCTGAGAATAGAAGAAACAGCACTGCACTGATGGCAGCACAAGCTCCAGCCCACATGATCCATCAGCCCAAACTGAAGAAAATGGTGCCATGGTGGCCTAACAGCTCCTGCAGAGCAGCACAAGAGGCAACCACTCACACTGGCGGCACATCTGGAGGCAGACCGAGCACAGGATATGCGGGCCCACTGGGGTGGTGTGGCGGCCACAGGCAGGGGTGTGCTCTGGGAAGCACAGATCTGGTGTTGGTCCGAGCAGATGCCCATAGCAGGCTGGCAGATGCGGAGGGGCGCAAACACAGCAAAGGTAGAGCTCGGGGGAGAATGAACCAAGGCCCAGCGGCACCCAATCTGCGAGGATGATGGATCGACGTCGGACAGCGCTCCATCTGAACTCATGGGCAACAAATCGAGGACAATATTGAGCTAATCATGGGCTACACTAACTGATACCAAAATGGAAGGGTTTGGGCTGGGTTTGGGGCCCGGGAGTGGAGTTTGATCCTCCCGGGAGCAGCACAACAACAACAACAACAACAACAAAGCCTTTAAGTCCCAAACAAGTTGGGGTAGGCTAGAGTTGAAACCCAGCAGAAGCCATCAAGGTTCAGGCACGTGAATAGCTGTTTTCCAAGCACTCCTATCTAAGGCTAAGTCTTTGGGTATATTCCATCCTTTCAAGTCTCCTTTTATTGCCTCTACCCAAGTCAACTTCGGTCTTCCTCTGCCTCTCTTCACGTTACTATCCTGGCTTAGGATTCCACTACGCACCGGTGCCTCTGGAGGTCTCCGTTGGACATGTCCAAACCATCTCAACCGGTGTTGGACAAGCTTTTCTTCAATTGGTGCTACCCTTAATCTATCACGTATATCATCGTTCCGAACTCGATCCCTTCTTGTATGACCGCAAATCCAACGCAACATACGCATTTCCGCGACACTTATCTGTTGAACATGTCGTCTTTTCGTAGGCTAACATTCTGCACCATACAACATAGCAGGTCTAATCGCCGTCCTATAAAACTTGCCTTTTAGCTTCTGTGGTACCCTTTTGTCACATAGGACACCAGATGCTTGGCGCCACTTCATCTACCCTGCTTTGATTCTATGGCTAACATCTTCATCAATATCCCCGTCTCTCTGTAGCATTGATCCTCACAGTGGAAGATTTTGTTGGAGCTAGATAAGAACCGAAGCTCTTGATACCATGTTAGAATGATATGAGAGGAGGAATGGATGAATGATTAGCTGTATTGCACAGACCCAATGGGCAATATATAGCACATGAGAGCACCCAAACCCTAGACAGTAAAAGGACTATAATACTTAACATATCATTCCGGAGTAAATAAATAGAAAACATGTTTATGTATTTATATTTTTTTTTATCATTTGTATGTACTTTTCGGTGATACTAAACTCAATTGATTATATTTCCTTGCAATCAGTTGACAGTGTTTTACCCACCTGTGTACATTGTGCAAATGTACAACAATGAAGCTAACACCAACTGCCCTTCTAACAAAGAAAAGTAGCTAGTTACTGAACCTTTGTCTCTCTCCTTATCTCTTCCACCGGCTGAAAGAATATCAGAAACAAACACTTCTTCGCCTGCCTTATCTTTCCTCCTGAACTTTTGTAGAAGATGGCCCTCATTTAACCCCTCAACCGGATGATTTGTCCTTCGATGATTGGTGGGCCAAATCTAATGAAAGCTGGATGGTCAAGTCCAGAAAGGTCTCAATTCAATTATCATCCTTGGAGCATGGGCAATCTGGAATCTCCGCAATCAATGCGTATTTGATGGGATCTCACCTAGTTTGAATGGAGTTTTAGAGTTCAGCAGGTAGGAGTTACATTTCTGGTGTTTAGCTGGGGCTCAAGGGGTTTCACTTTCACATCTCCTCGCCCTTGGGTCCAGCATTAGTTAGTTTGTTGGTCGAGGCTGTTTGGTGCTTGCAGTCTTTGGCGAGTTTCTTTTCTTTTTCCTTTTCTTTTTGTGTGTGTGATCTAGCTGTGTGGTGGATTTGTGTGTTGTTGTTTGGGTTCTATGCCCTTTTCTTAATATATTGATACGCAGATCTCCTGCGTATTTGAGAAAAAAAAAATAGAAGATGGCCCTCGCCACCATGGCCCGTGCAGTGAAGCTGCTTGCAGCAAGAAGTCGAGGTAGACCCATGGGAGCTTCTCCTCCACTGGGAAGCAGAAGCTCATCTCTACACGCAGCATCTTTTCATCGCACCGCCACACAGGAGCGACAGCGTAGCAACGCACAAGTTCCAGCTGCAACGCGCCTGGCTGCCGTCTGCCAGTGACCTCAAAGCATCCGTCCTCCAACAACTGGTACCGAGATCCATGGAATGTTCGATTTCTTCCGGAATGGACGGAATCAGCTGGAACTGTGACCCATACAGGATAGCACCTATTATGTTCCAGTCTGGGCAGCGGTACAAGGCATTCCAGACTGTTCCAGCCGGTACCGGAATGGAATTTACACTTACACCTATGTCCTCAAGTGTATTACAATCTTAAGTCTGCTCTTTAGATGGAATCAATATGACCAATTCAATATTAGATTTAATTAAATCAATTTTACTGTGCAAGTTTATTTATGTGCTGATAAAATCACAATATCAAATGTGTTTGTCATATAAAATAGTAAATACCTCACTTTCAGTTAATGGTCTATCCGATGATAGGATAAAGAGTATCAAATCAGCTCGTGGCACATATTCTTCAGTGAGTCGTTGCTGCCTCTGAAGAATAACATTTGTTCCAGGTGTATCAACTAGATTCATCTGTGAATTAGTACACATGGAGCACCTTATGAAAAGAAAAATGAAGTAAAGAAGCAAAGGAAAATGCATTGCTGATTTGGCCCTGGGACAGTAATGCAACTACAGAAGGAAAAAGGAAGTGAAGCGGAACAAGACTGTCAATTATTCTTGGCACCTTCATTTGCATGCAATAGATGTTGATCAAAAGCCAAGTAGTCAGGTAGCTACAGCAAATGGGCAGATGATACATGTTATCAACTACAGCGTGTGGAGGGAGAAAGAAGTCTGCTCCTTATAATTTATCACAATTTTAAGTTTGTTCAGAAAGAACCTTCAACTGGGTGAAAAGGGAAATTGCATCCATCTAGCTAGCTTATTTAACTTAATGCATTAAGTTAAGGGAAAAGGCTAGCTTGTCTAACTTAACATACCGAACAATAAACTGCATGCATACATCTGTAAGGTAAAGAAGGAATTTCAGCATGACCGTCAAAAGCAATTCAATACTTACTTCCTTTAAAATTGGAACAGATAAATAGCACATGAATTGACCATCTGGATGCCTCTCACATCGTTCAAAGCTTTCAGATTCCATCTCAGAATATGATAGTAGTGTGATCTCATTTGTCGTAGGCACAACTCCTTCCTGAAGATACTGCCTTCCAAGTAAAGCATTTATAAAAGTTGACTTTCCTGAGTTAAATTCACCCTGAGATAAATTGCAGGAGGATTTGCTCAGAATGAGTGGTAAAATGATTACTTGGCAAAAAAATAGTTACAAAGTGTGGAATATGTATAATATAAGAAGAACAAGCAGTCAATTTATATTCCTAGTGGTGCCTCCAGTTGATGTAACTCGCTTCTTTAGATGGTGGGGAATCATTATCAGAGATGTTCCCAAGGAGATGCAGAAGGGGCTGAATTCTCTAATCATTTTAGTGGCCTGGGCTATGGAAACATAGGAATGCCTGTGTGTTTTGAAGGAGTGTTGCCAAGCATTCAGGGCCTCTGAAAAACAGTGGCTTGTGGTTGTAGTTTATGGTGCATGGCAGGTGCTTCTAATCTCCAGGATTTGCTCATAAGGTCGTTTGCCCCAGAACCTTAGGTTTTGATTGGTAGGCTGATCCCCTTGGTTATGATATTCTTTCTGTCAGTGGCACGTGTTTTTGTAAGCATCCGGGTATTTGGGGGGGGGTTCAGGTATGGCTGTTTTAGCCTCACCCTTGTATCTTTCTTCTCATGAAATGATATGCAACTTTCCTGCGTTGTTCGAGAAAAAAAAATAGATTCCTAGTGAATAAGAGAATCCTCTTGCTTACGGGCTCATACCAAACTGAGTATGTTAGGAAAATAAATACAACCAATGTGTCTGCTTATACTACTATAGAACAGGACTCGTGCTTCTCTAATGTGGTTAGCTTAGGACAGTTATGTTTGTTTGTTTATGCAAATAAGATGGCAAAATAAACCAGAAAAGGAACTAAATGATAGCACAAATTAATTGGGAAGTTCATGAAATGTAAGATATTGAAAACAAATATTTCAAACCATTGATTTGATTGATTCATAGGCTCACATAAATAAAAAATACATGCACAAAGCAATATTCATAACACACTGGTATTCCTTGTTTGAGAAAAGAACATATATTAAGATTGTTGATTGCTTTTGAGGGAGATGCAAGACATTAATATGGCTGCCCTATAGCATCATTTGATGATTAATATAACATAACACAATAACCATGTCTAATGTCATTTGCCTCAGTAGTATGCATGCAGGTTATCTAAATATGAGCTATGTAATGGACGTTGCTGAAATCAATACTCGATGTAAACCCAAAATTACCACAGTAACCAACAAAAATGGCTCACTCAGGCGAGAAGCAGCATCCACTAGAAGCTCAACCTCCTCCATCTGTGATGAAAAATCGGCAATTAAATTCAAGTCAAAGATATGCTTAAGATGATGGTATGAAGTACAATTGAATTCATTCCAGGGCATCTTCAACTACCAAATGTGTAACGTTAGATGATCACCATTGGTGCTGCCTTGCGGATAATAGCAATAGCTTCGTTAAGAATAGGCTTCTCTATTTCTATCAACTGTATCACTTTTTCATCCAATTTTGTAAATCCAGCAACTTTAGTCTTCTCGCGATCACGAGTTAGGACCATTACATTATTAACATCTTCCAACATCCCAGCAGAAGAGTAACTCGCTCGTGGGACTTCCTCAGCTGAGTCCACTTTTGAGAAGTCCTTTTTTATAAGATCATCAGTGAGGAGTTGCATACCAGCTAAGGATGCAACAACTCCAGATGCACCAGATTGGAGCAACCTGGATGTGAAGTCAGAATAAGTTCCTTCACTCAAATGATTCAACGTGAAGAAAATCGGAATCTTCACATGCTGACCAACACCACCATTCATCACATCCATAAAATCACCACCGCCAGTATTCACAATCAGAAAATCAGCCCCTTCAGAACTTGAAGCGCTTATTGCAGAGTTTGCAGATTGTATCCTTCTAGCAACAATAGGGAGATATATGGAGTCAGCATTTGATTTCATCATCATACTCCTCGCGACAATAGCAGGAATACCTGCATCAAAATTGCATCTTAAATACATGAATGTTGCAGTACAGTTACTACTTAGAAAACGAAGCACACTTTACGAGTTAATGACAGAACATATCCAATGTCACATTTAAAATTATTGACATTATATTCACTGAAAGAAACTCTGAATGAATGATAGGCACCCATGAGCGATCAGCAACTGAAGCATAAACCAGGCTGTTGCAAAATGTAAGCTCTAGAACAGTAATAGCGACTGCTACCAACCAAACACAACACACAAGCTCATAGAAACAGGAAGCTAAGGAGATTTCAGTCACCAACCGTCGTCGGCGAGCACGACGCCGCTCGCCCCGACTGCGGAGGCGACGTCGACGCGCTCCGCGATCAGTAGGTACGCGCGGTCCCCGACCGTGGCCCGGAGCGCGCGAGCGGCCTCGTAGGCTCGCCCACCGCCCTCCTCTCCGGCCTCGAGCACGACGATCCCCACGCCCCGGGACACGGCGGCGGCCACCTCATCCCCGCACCGCAGCGCCTCCTCGGCGCCGACGCGTAGGACGAGTGCTGGCACCTGGATCTCCGGCCGCTTGAACCCGCCGGGGAACAGCGTCCGCGGCGGCTCCTTCGCAGCGCCCTCACCGGTCCCGCTGCCTCCTCCTCCGCCAGCGGCGACGGCGTTGCCGTGGAACGCGCGGCGGAGGCGGCCCCGGCGGCGGGAGAGGAGGAGGGAGCGGAACGGGACTGAAGGGCGCGGGAGGATGAGGCGGGTGGTGCCCGTGGTGGTGGAAGCGGCGGACATGGAGAGCGAGAGGAGAGGGGAAGGGAGTGCGCTCGTGTGTGGACAGCGGAGCGAGGAGCGAAGCGAGGCGAGGTGGTGGGCTGGTGGCCGGTGGGGGTGTGATTGTGTGAAGTGGGAGGCGGTGGAGCCGTGGAGGGGAGCACTTTGTCGCGGATTTGGTTGGATAGGGCGAGGGCCCGAGAGGCCGTCACTTGATAACGGCCGCGATGGGATTTGCCGTTTGCGACTTTGCGGGCTTTTTCATCCCGCTCGGATGAGCCGTCTGATCAGCATGGGTGCTGTTTCCTATCCTACGACTAAAAAGAACGAAGATTGAATATTTTTTTATGACATTTGTTTAGGTCTGTGTACCCACGCCTGCGATCCCCTGTGCGACAGTAACTTCACGGTCCGCTGCCTGCCTGCGATCCCTCGCCCGAAAAAAAAATGTGCCCGCCCGGCGCCTCTCCTGCCCGCGCCCCCCTTCCCGTGCCCTCGCCCGCCCGCGCACCCACCCGACTCCTCGGCGTTTCTCTAACCCTAACCGCCGCCGGTTGACCTCGCCGTTCGTGCCTGCGCCGTCGTCCTCGCACCACCCTGATCCGCGTCCTCGCTGCCACCCCGAGGGCGCGAAACCTGGTCACAGTCGCTGTTGGCAGGCGCGGGCGCTGGCCGTCTGACCGCAGCCCCAGCCACTCGGCAACGCAGTGCGCGGGGGTGCGAGCGCAGGACACACGGCCGCTGCCCCAACCGCCCCTGGCGAGCGCACGCCGCCGCCGCGAGCGCGGGCAAAACCTGAGATGGACTCTGCCGCCGCCTTGCCGCCGCGGCGTGTAGCACGCCGCCGCACCTACCAATGCACAAGTCTGGGACTTGGCCCTCCTGCCCCATCCGCCGCCCCATCCGCGCCCTAGCCCCCTCCATTGCCTCTCTCCCGCCGACGCCAACGCCCCGCCCCTTCCTCTCCCCGCGCTGGCCTTCATGGATGACGGTGCCCATATCCGCTGCGGTTTTTCCACTCCCCAAATCAACCGTACCCCTTAGCCATGGCCGCCGTTTCCAGGGAAGATGTTGTTCCATCTTATCTGTGGCGATCGACAGGATCTAAGGTGGTGCCACCACCTTCCCTTTTGACTTCCCCATCAAATTGTCTCTATCGACTTCAAACCCATCCTAGATTTTGCCTCCCCCACTGTAGAGCCCTTCTGCAATCGACAACGGCAGTTCCTGGTGCTGCACATGACCATGGCATATTGGCGTAGGTGGTGATGCAGATGGCGTTGGGGGGCCTGAATTCAATGGTGTTGACCCCGACCACCGTGGCATTCTCAGTCCCCACGAACACCGAGAAGATCGTCAAGGCGGCCGCTGAGCATAGGGACGGGTGGACGGGCGGCGACGTTGGTGGTAATAAGGCAAGCATCAGCTTTGGCGACTCTGCCGCCATGGACATGCCCAGCCATGAAGATAATAAGTCTGATTCCCTGGTTTTATATGCTGAAGAATAGGTGTATATACAATGTACAAGTAATTTTTTTGAGATTGCTGCAGATATAACCTGACATGTTCAGTGCATACGCATTAGGGGAGTGCATTTTAAAGGATGAGCTGGTGAGCTTGCTGCATATACATGCAGACATGGACATCAACTAGAAGGCACTGCAGGTTTATTTATTTGGGATATTGAAGAATACGAGTCTTTTCTGTATTTTGTATTGCTCCGTTTAAAAGAAATACAACAACCTTCTAATTTGCATTGCAGGTCTAGCTTCTAATGTGTGTATGCAATAGTTGCTCAGATGAAACTTATGCAGTCGGATGCTCCATGTACGGGCCTTTTCCTATGACAATATTTGCGGCGGTTGCTAAGATGAAACATATATATGGAGTAGGCTTTATGTGTCTGTTTATTAAGTGACTGTCATCCATTGTTATGAAAACTCTGTTTCATTATATGTTTCCTAGGACCAACTGTTTGTTAGGGTGATCAATTCCTGCTAGATATAGTTATTTTATTGTTTCACTATAAACAGTTGAAAGCTATCCACAGGTGTAGTAATAGCTGAAGCAGACTCTTGAGCTATGAAAAGCATTTATAAAGCAATTGATGCTGGAGTAGTATGGCTGTAAATAAATAATCCTGGTTCTTTCCTGAACAGATACTCATACTGTCTTGCTCATAAAAGTTGATCTTCAGAGTTCATACCAATATTTGGAAGTTGTAAAAAGATTTTTTTTAGTAATTGACATATCTTTGTATATGCAAATGCAAACCAACTTATATGCCGTTCTCTGTTGATTCAGGAACATAGACTATGGGCCTGTTCGCTTGTCTGAATTTTGGAGGAATCTGGATGGTTTGGAGGAATGCTGGAGGAATTTGTGAGAGAAAAACACTGTTCCAGATGAAAAAATAAGCGGATCAAGCCGGGTTTAAGGGCACGCGAACGGGGCCTATGTCAGACAGGTGCTTCTTCAAAACCAGGACTACCAGATTAAGGTATCCAACTATTTTCGATGGTGATTTTTATCTCCTTTAGTCCTATCATTACATCTTTGGTCCTTGCTTCTTTAACAGTAGTGCTCAAACTTTAGAATTTCGGTGGGTGGACGTTGTAATGTTGTAGTCTCTTATGGCGAAATGCACAATATCCTGATTAGGTGCACATGATTATCTATTTACCTTGCTTTTAATCGAATTATCACTCAATTATAGCAATTTTATCAGGTGAGTGTAGTGCTTGGCACTGGTTGCCAACCTTGATGGCCTGACCAATATGGGATAATTGATTGCAATATTCAGAAATTATTTTTGCGGATATTCAGAAGATGCTTCTAATCATACGTTGTGGTGTACTTCAAAATGTGTTGACACCTCGAGCGCCACCTGCGGCCGGCCACCCGGGCAGATTGGGCGCAATTACACAGCACGCATGAGAACCACTCCTCTAGCCTCTATTTCCCTACCAAAATCTAATCGCTCTTCCGGTTTGCGTGCTGCAGTTGCAGGCACTGGGGCTGGGCATCGACACCTCTGTCATCTCTTCCCGTTGCCGCTGAGGTGGAGTGGCTAAATCACAACATACGGCAGCGCATTGCAGCGCCCAGCCCCAATTCTGAACTTCGCAAGGCCAAGCCGAAGGTATGTAAACACTAATCTGGCGGCTAAAGAAACTAAACTGTAAACAAAGCAACTCAAGGTCTGTGATGTATCCATTTATTACTTACGTTAAATAATCTATATAATTTAATTAGATTATGTTCGATTGAATTATTTGTTCCAGTTTCTTAGATTTCTTAGATTTTGTATTTTTATTTGTCTTGGTGTTTATTTTGTAGAGAACTCATGAAGCGATAGCTACTTCATTTGAAAGGTGAAAACATCCTGACCAGCAAAGTTCTTGTGTCACCAGGTCAAGAGGTAAACCACCGATGTCTTCTTTTGTTCTTTGTCACACCAACATGATTATTCCAGCAAATAATTTACCAGGCATAGAGTAGATGAATATACTATTCTATTTAATTGAAGGTACCTAGAGGATGTAGATACAAGCTTATTCGTTTCGCTCAGCGCAGTTGCAGGCACCTCCGCCCTCGAGCCCTCCCTCGCGCACCGGCTGTGCTTCGCCATAGTGCGTCGCCATCGTCGTCGCCTGCCGCCATCGCCTTCGCCGTCTTGCTGTGCCCTCGAGGAGGACTGCGGACTGCCACGAGGAGCTTCCAACATCTTCTGTCTTCCACAAATGTCCACCCTGTTAGCGAATCACATCCTGCCTTGATGTAAGTTGTAACATGGAACTATCATAGAACTATATTTATCTTTTAGTTTCTATTTCCACTGCAAATATAATATGCATGTTTGAAATTATCTCCTTTTTTAAAAAAAGTACCTACTTATCGACTTTTTATTTTTGCATATATTTGCTTGCCATTACCATACCACTGCCCCCATATACTTGATGCACGCATCTTTGGGTTAGGAACATGCTTGATTTTTAGATCCACACATAGAAAGTGCTTAGCTCAATAATTTTGAGACGCTATCTGATCACAGCATAATCTGAATCATTTAAATTTGTTTGGTGCACTTTGTGCGTAATCAAGTCCCACACCAGTTTAAAATCTGAATCCTTTAAATTTGTTTGGTTCACGTGGGCATAAAAGTCCCCTGGATAGGGTCCTAGATCAGTGCAAATCCAGCGTTAATCGTTGGGCTCGGGCGGTACCGTGCCTGAGTGGAACCGAACAAAATGGAAAACTGATTATCCTGTAATAATTCCCCCTGGATATATATCGTATATATTTGCAGTATCATTTCTAAACCAAACATCACCTAGATTCATGGGATTAGCCATTCACAAATGCCACAGCATATCCAACTCGGCAACTGCTGTCCAGTCTATGTTACATCACAGTTCAAATTACACCAGTCACCAAATAATGGCAGTGATGAACATCACAAGTGAACATTCAACTTCCCACGTTATTTGGTTTCAAGATTTTTCAACATACAATAAGATCTCCTTTTCTCATTCCTGTGATTACCTCCCACTGAATATCTTCATACCTGGCACAGTTCACCATTTGATTTATTGCCTTACTGTTCTGGTTTCTCGATCATATCAATGGATTCCTATTAACATCTTTGTACAGCAAGTATCTCGTCCTGGTCTTACCAAGGGCAGCATACCTGGAACGTTACGGATTATGACAACAACTGTGAGCTAGCTAGAAAAAAGACAGGTCAGTAGATGTCGAACACGAAGGTGGCATACACTTACCACTGAGGAACAAACGGTGCCATCCAAACGGTATCTCCTGCTTGCACGAGATACCTGTGTAATGAATAGAAGTGGTCTTCAGAATTTATTGGGGAGTATAATATGTAAACAAAAGTTAAGAACTTCAATAGGGAAAAAAGGAACGTGCATTTTGTGCATACTAGGTAGTGTGCCTATACGTTGCTACGGGACATCTAAACTTTTATACTAAATTTCATGGCCCTGTTTGGATTGGATATC